AATTTTCTTTAAATGTGTTAACATAAGGAAATAGAATATTATAGTGCGTGTGTAGTTAGTCCAGTTTGCTCGTCCAATAAAATAGTTCGAAACGAAACGAAATTATTTACTCTGCTAATAGGTTATTGGCCGCATGGTCAATTTCAAGTAAATTGAGTTCTCTGAACCGATATGACAGTAAATATTTACATAATTAGTTGTTGAATCTCAAAATGTCATCGTCGTCAAACCAATTTTTCAAATTGAAAAATTGAAGGCTCGAGAGAACATTGCCGATATGAAATTTGTTGTGCAGACATATTTGGAGCACTAAGATCTCTTTAAGCACATAGAAAACGAAACACCTATCGAGGTATCTCCAATTTACGTCGACATCAATTCAAGTTGAAGCGGCTAAAAAAGCGAAGAAAACAAAACTGAAGTTAATAATACTTTGTGACCGATCAGTTTTTGTGCACAAATGACCTTGAGATGAGCACACGGTAAGTTTAGGCAAAGTAGTGGTAGGTCGGGGGTGAAAAGGATATTTTAGACAACTACAGACAACCTCACTTTGACTTTACAGTACCTACAGGCTCTTATGGCCAACAGCGATGCCAAATCTGTGTGTTCTCCTACGGGCCAACATTGCCAGCCAAGGAACCAGCCAGTCGGCCGGTCAAAGTGAGATTAAAAGCTACCTTTTCACAAATAAATTTGCAAAAATGCCCTTAAAAGGAGGAAGAGAAAACCAAAGACAGCTGAAAGAAATATTCGATGTTACATAATACATACATACCATACATACGGGCTTAAATGCTTGTAAATATACATATTCGCAAAATTCAACATGAAATGAAGCAATACTACACGAAAGAAACGTCACAAAAATATCATAACGGCCAATAAATGGCCGACTTATGTCTTACAAGTGACAGTACAACTGCACCCCTGTTCTTCTACCCGATCCGCTTTTGCGCAAGTGAAACACTAATGGAGGGGAAATCTATCATTATGGAAGTACAGAAATATACATTGTATGACCTCCAGTGGCAGAATAAGGAACTACGAACTCGATACCAATAATCTAATCTTACATTATTACTTTTTTGTAGACGAAGAACTCCATTGTGTTTTGAATAAATTAAAAAACAAATAGGAAAAATCGAGACTCAAAATAATAATACAAAATTTTTGAGTCTCGATTTTTCCAATTCGTTTCTTCTACATTATTACATTTACGGAAACATATCCTAACGGTGTAAGGAGTATCTGAAATGGATATTTAACTGGCAAAAAGTATTGTAATTAAAAAAACTTACACACCGTAGGCCAAAATTCGCGATACAGTGCTTTTAATAAGAGTTGGAGTAAATTAATTTCACCCTAATACCACTTTGTTCTTCGGTTTCTGCAAATGCTTCGCTTATGTTAAAATAATTTTAAACTCTTACATTGGCCGGCATGCATAAAAGTAAGCAAATGCTTATACTTGCAAAATTCAAAGTAAATACTCGTAACTGCCCCTTCATACTGGTCTGTTTAGCATAGTTTAGCAGCGCTGCACTGTGTCCTGGTCCTTCTGCTTAGCAGCGCTGCTCAATCGCCCAGTGCGAATGAGCACTTACGAGTATTTAGTTTGAATTTTGCAAGTATAAGCATTTGCTTACTTTTATTCATACGGGCCATTTACTAATTTTTTGCCTTTCGAACAATCTTAACCCGGAACAGTGCAGAAATCCTCTCCCTCTTAGGAGAAGGCGACCTTCTGTTACAGATCCAGCAGTGGATTCCGACATCACCTTAGATGAGATTGGATTTAAAAAAAGGGAATTTCTACAGAGAGGCGTAGCGCCCTGTTGGAGAAATATCAGACTCCCTCAAATTTCCACAGAAAGTTTCAAAGAGTGGTACCCAAGTTTCAAAAGGGTCCACATTCGGCGGACTATAAGGCGTTTTCCTTTCACTACAAATAATTCGGAACTCTCAAGCTTGAACCTCCTCCAATTGCTCGACCCTGGATGGCTTGGTCTAAAGTGAGTTATCGGTTTTTACAAATTTTCATTTGATCATCCAATAAAAAAGGTCTTATCTTTCTATTTGGAACGATTAACACATAAAAAGATAATAAGGAACATCATAAAGCCACATATTATAGAAACATAAATAGCAATGTTCACTTTAAAGTTTCCAACTCATCAAGTAAAGCAAATACACAAATACACTACAAGAATACTTTAATCACAAGCACGAAAGAAAACGTGAAAATCTAACCATCTAATTATACTAATTACAAGTGAAAGTTTACGAGTTCCGATTGGCCTAATATACAGTTACTATTCGTATGATACTAATTACACTGAATTTCATTTTTACATCGTTTTTGAGTTTGTGACTTAAATACCATTATTATTACCTACCTACATTATTATAGGATGACTCACAATAATCGCGCTGATCAACGCACTTGATACTATTCATATTTGTAAAGCTACGTGCTAAAACTTTTGAGCTGGGGGAAGCTCAAGCTAACTCAGCATCTGCCACCAACTTCTGGTATTCTGCGCGATCACAAAATTTTTTCTCCAAGTTCTGAATGGGCGAAATTGGGTATCTGAGGTTCTTTAACTAATTCAACATTTGATTTTTAACGAAAAAGTTCAAATATCGTCAGTATTTCGTTATTACCACCTTGAAAAGCACCCACACTCCACCTATAGAATTGTGTCTAAAGCAGAACCTTTTTACAACTTTATGAAGAAGAAATTTGCATAGCTTCAAATTTAGAGCACAAAACTAAACATGTTGTGTCTTTGGCCTTTTGGTTCCTTCCCCTATTCATCTTTTTTGCATTTCTCTAAAAGAAAATTGCCACATTTCATTTGCATGACCTTTGTCTTAACAATGATTACTGAATTCAAATTTCGAATCTGAATAATTCTTGTTTCTGTACATCTTTCGTAGAAAGGACCGAAAACTGATTTCGCGTCACAATCCCTTTTGTTCAAATGGGCGAGATTTAATTTCCATGTCCTCAAATCCCTTTTTAATAATGTCGTTGTAAGTCTTCGTGATTAAAGGGAGAATATTGGGAAAACTTTCAAAGGTAAATAAACCTCGAATTACATTATTCTTGTTTACAGAACAAATATACGCCGACCGTTTCAGTTCTGTATTAAAATTAAAACCCCTCGCGCTCCGTGAAAATATTAATACAAATGAAACATTTTAGTGAATCTCAAATTTAACAGTTTTACAGTAGCCCATTACGCTTCATGCATAATAAACGATTATTTAGTACTTTGAGAATCTTCAAACGCGAAGCATAAAAAAGACAAGTAGGACGTATTATTAAAAAGGATTTTTGTATGCTGTGCAAATTCCGATTGAACGCAACGTTTTCATTTAGGCAATTTAAATTATTAAAGGACTTTAATTGAGGGCTTAATTTTCAATCTCATAAAGTGCCCGGAATTAAAGTGCGTAATGTGTTTAATTGTGTTGTGTGTTTAAACTAAAACATTTCGGATTTTAGTTAGTAGGTATACCTAACAGGATATGTATAATATAAACCGTTTCAGTACCCTACATTTCCTCAAGCTAGTTACGAGATAGGCGAATTGATTTAGAGACTACATTCAGGATGCAAATTCAACAAGCCTGAACTCGTCGAAATAGAGAAAAAGATTGAAGGAAACGATTCAATAGAGAATGTCAAAAGGAATACAATAGAGAGCAGTGAGGCTTAAGTGAATGGGAGTCAAGAGAGAATATGTAAATATTGAGGGCAGATTTAAATGAGAAATATCGAAACACATCAAGTTAATACGGGAAAGTTCAAAACAGAAAAATGCACGAACAAAAGAAAATTGTATTCTTTTCGTAACATTTTTGAATTGGCATCAGGGAATCAAGAGCAGTTATTTCCCCTAGTTTTAAGGTAAGGTACTAGAAGATCGGACGAATTTTCAACTACCATACATACATCCCTATTGACTCCTAAAGTAGATTCAAATATGAATATGAAAATATCTTTGATATTTGCTAGATTAGACAAAGTAACCAAAATACTCTGATCGTCTAGTGCCTTCGTGACGGGAAAAATGAGAATTTGTCATTTGAGATCGATTCTAGAACATCCACTACACAGTGCGTAAATTTTAACGAGTACATATCTCCTATGTTCCATTCTTAAATATATAAGTCAAATATCCCTTAAGATATGCAACCATCTTATCTACATTCATGTCTCAATAAACGAAAATATTTCAATTATATATTAAATTAAGATTATTAATTATATTCTTAATAAAATGTATAAAAGAAAAACGGAAACTGTGAAAGATCTATTTCAATAATCACACGAATTATTTGCTGCTAAATATCTCGATCAACGAATTCCATCACTTGTCACAATTCAAGACACCATAAAAATTTCATGTCGATTGTTGAATTGTTAATGAACATCAGAAAAAGTACTTGCCGTGTTTTAAATGTAGAATTAATGTTAAATGCTTTAGCGTACATACATAGAAGAAAATCCAACTATATCACTGTTCGCAATTTGGCAGGAAGTGTTTTCTAATTATCGCCCTCCCTTTACCCCTGATCGAGATCAGTGGAGAGAGACGGAAGTAAAAACCATTCTTTTATCCTCTATTAATTAAGGAACTAGTTATTTTTACCAACCATCATATTGCAAGAAAGGAGTGTCGGAGGAGAGTACTCGCAAAGAGCGATCGGCACGTCAATTACTATTGCATGCTACGTGCTAAACCCTGTCTACGTCTTCCTCTAGTAGTGCCCAATACTTCACTAAGCTAGTTTGGTTTTGAAAAAAGCACTTTATCCGCACGAGAGTTGTGCAAAATTTAATACCTTAGTGAAAATCATAAAAAAATTAAACAAAAATATCTTCCATTTCAGGGACCGGAACTATTGGATTTGACTGCATCCAATCTATCTACATAATAAAGGCCACTTAAGGTGGTTGAATTATGTTGATAAAAAAAGGTACTCACCTACACAGTGTATCGTAATCTAAAGCTTTTGAGGTATATCTGGCATCTATAACGATTAAGTCATGTAATTTTGAAAGGAATTCTTCTAACGCTTCTTCGTACGAGTGGCACGTGGTCACGTCATATCCAAGCTTGTCCGCCGCCTTCGATAGTGCCTCTGATACAGGATCGGGATGGGCGCAGACGACCAACAATTTGAGGGGACTGTGATTCGGTGGTATAAGGAGACCATACTTGATTTCTGGTGGCGATCTCTGAAACAAACACGAACGCTTACTACATCATATTCCGAACAGGCCAAAATTAAACCTTAAAATTAGAGTTTCTTTGCAAGTCTAGTGCCGATGTGGGTTTTTCATCGGCACAACACGAGCCGCCAGTGGTTCGAGGTTTGTAGGGAATTGCCGTCACTTCAGTTACAAGGCTGTTCACTTTCTTGGGACCGGTGGAAGGTAACCATTTACAGTGTTCCAATGAAGAAACCGTGTTCGCATGGAATGTCCGCCACACTTGCGACGATGCATCGTAGAACTGCAGGAAGTTCGCGCACTCAGATTTACTGTACAATTTCCTTCCGTTTCGTTTTCCCTCCTCTTTCCTCTTTGACTTTAGGGGACCGACTTGTCCTGAGAGATTGGCGCGTTCTAAATTGTCACCACCGCGTACATTACATCTTTTCCTCGGACTGCGCTTCTCTGCACCTTTTTTATGACTACCAAGAGGGGCGGAACTACAATCTTTTCCATATTTTGTATTTCTTTTTGTCTCTGGCACCTTTATCCCCGCGTTCCGTTTGCAAAAGCGTTGATTTTGATGCAGCTTTCCACGCGCTATGCTTTCAGCATAATTTTGGGTAATGTTAGCCTGCTCATTGCTGGGTAAAGAAGGTATTGAAAAGTAAGTGTCGTTAGATTTTGTACGAGCCTTTCGTTGGCACTTGCGCCTTTTCAAATTGGTAATCATTTGCACTAATAATTTTTGACCGTCGAACAGCAAATTTGACGTCTTTTAAACGATAGGTGTCACGATTATACGAATGAAATGAAAATGTATATTAAAATAACCTTGTTTTTTCCTATAGGATCCGTTCTACCATTAGCATTTTTCCTAGACAAGGATTCAGTTTGAGTTCCAGTGCATTGAGTGAATCGCGCTAAAGTTTCATGTGATGGTAGTTGCAATACTAAAATTAAAGTCACTGTTAAAGTGTTATAGGTGGTCGTGTCTTACCCAAAGGATGATGTGAGCTTGTGCTCGCAATCGCACATAATTTGCGCTTTATTTTATTTTTTATTAGGAGGTTAGCTATTTTCATACACGTACTGTCAGTTTTATTGGGTTTTATACAATCTCCTAGCGACTGAATGGCCGTTTCTGAGTTCGAACGCTTAACACTAGCATTGAGTGATGAAGAGGATGATCTCTTGGCCTTACACAGCACTTTTGCGCAATCCATTTTTTTTCTAAAATATACCTACTCCTTCAAATGTCACATTGACATTGTTTTCTAGAAATGTATCAGCCTGCGCTGCATCATGATAGTAAATACTTTTCGTAGCATTTACTTTAAAGGAAACAGGGAAAGAGCAAACAGAAGGTAATATAATAGATTGTCTTAAAAGGGCCGTTGGCGTGCTCGATAAGGAATAAAAAAAAACTTCTATGCAACTTCGTTTACTTAATGAATTATGTTAGGGCACGCGAGCGGCGCTTTCAGAAGAGTGGAGGTGAATGGGGATTGAAACTTTCGTTTACATACGAAACGTAATCAATGCAAAGACAAAGAGAAAATTTACAAGCAACCATTGGGGTAGTAGAAGGATGAGTCGGGAGCAGTTTCAGCTAGCAGATTATGGTCAGTTTGTAGTATGAGACAGATTTGACGTTCTTTGAGCCATTTTCCTTTTCATCCTATTTTACGCATAAAAACGTGCAGAAGGAATAGTAAATATTCATCCAACTCGATCTAGTACAAATTGTAGGTAATTTGCTGTCGTAAGATGCAATTTTAGTGTTCTTGAGATTTTGAGTGACCGGGTTTAATACTGTGCTCGTTAAAATAAAGCCAAAATAAAAAAGTATAAATTGTGCACAACTCTTGTGCAGATAAAGCGCATTTTTTTTAAATCGAAATAGCTTTTGTTTTGACATCACCAATGGATATATTTCTTGGAGACGTCTCAATCGCCCTTTGTGAGTACCCTCTTCCGACAATTGAGGTATAAGGAAATATACCCGATCACGATAAGAGGTCGAGGAGGAGGGCTATGGTTGGTAGAAATTAATTCCTTTCGTTGAGACCTTTAATTATAGTACCATGAAGGATAAAACTAATTCCACTTCCCTTCCTCCTCCACCCCGTACTTTGATAGGATGACAGAAAGAAGGGCAGTATAGTTGGTAGAAAACGGTTTCTGAGACCAATTGGTTGTCGTATGTAAAAGTTATGCACGTTTTACGTTCAAAAACAGCATCCCAGGAAAAAATTCGCGGGGAGCCCCCCTTTTAGACAGCGAAATTTGATGGCCGTCTGGCACGCCTTTAAGGTATAGGTTACCTACTGCAAAAAATTCTAGGACTCTAGGACCATTCCCCTAGAAGTAGTTCGAAACGGCAGAAGTGGGTCCGGACGAACGGACGGACAAAACGCAAACAATAGCACATTTTTTCTTAAATTTTCTTAAAAGAAATGCACTAAAAAATAAAAAGGTTTTCGTCCTAGGGAAGTAAATTTAGAGCACTTTCCATGCATTTGTCAATACTTCTCAAAAGGTGGCTATGTTTTTTTTAACTAAAAGCATCTATGGTTAAAATTTCAAAATATCTTCATAAATATGGACGTTGGCACTGCTAATGCTTATAATATGGGGTATGTTTGCCTTTTCTAGAAGTATCTGTGGTTAAAATTTCAGCAAAGTATATTAATAAATAAGAAAGTCCATGTTGCACAGCCCGCACATGCGCACATCAATTGTCACGATTATTCTTGGCGCAGGTGCCAGAGCTATAAGTTACTAAATTCAAAAAGAACGTACTAAATATATTGAAGACTGTGTTAAGGCTTCGGACAGACGGACAGGCAGACGGTAATACCGCACCCAGCTTCGTTGGAAAATGCGCTAAAAATAGGTTTGCAATGTTTCCGCAAAGACTCTAATATAAATAAGGACATTTTTCGGAATTATTGAAAAATTCATGAGAGACTAAATGATTTTCGCATTTTCCAAGCCATGTTAGAAGGCGCTATTATGGCCACTTAATCCGTCCATCCATATTTAGCCAAGAAAAACCTTGACGATTAAAGTGCATATAAGCAAACTGCGCAATGTCATCTTTCTTATTATTAATTAAAATATTTTAACCGCAGATGCTTCTAGTAAAGACAAGCATATCGTGTATTGTAAGAATCAGATGTGCGCATGCGCAAACTGCACAATGTCAACTTTCCTATTTGTAGATATTTTTTGAAATTTTAACCAAAAATTCTTCTAGTAAAGGCAAACATATCGCATATTTATAAGAAGCTTTTTATGCCATAACTCATTTTCCTTTGTACATTAAATATTCTTCAAAAACGTTTCAGGGATTTTTAAAAGTTCTCCAGAACGTTGTTTTAAATATTGTTTGGAAGATTTTTAGACATTGTTACGACAAAGTGAGAAAATGACTTACGTTCTTTAAAAATTCTATATGTATTCTTCAGAAGCTCAAATATTCTACAAGGCCTATAATTTTCGGAGATTCATCAGGAATTCACAATTGAGGTAAACTGTGCTAACACAGGAATATTGCAGCTCTTGAACTGTTAATAATCCAAACTCTTTTTTAGAAATTCTTAGCAGAGGTTTACAGACCTATTACAGGTATCCAGAACTAGGTATATCCCAGAGAATGTTGAAACTGCTGCGAAATTCTTCTGGAGGTATTCTTTAGAGATTGCTCAAATTACCCGAAGGATATTCCAATCCATGTGAAGTTCTCCCCCCTCCCATCCCTTAAAAATAAATACCGCCGTTTGCGGTTCATTTCATTGCACATTGTTTGGATATTTAGGACATTTCGATTTCCTTCTGCACGACTCACCAAGACAAGCTATTAAATAAATAAATGAGAGGGGGGAGAGTTAACTTCACGGCGCTAGTGCCGCAAATTTTAGAAAAATAAACCGATTGCATTTAATTTGCATTTTCACATTATTTGCACATTTAGTCACCCTTTTATTTTTCAATTGCCTACTTCTATAAGCAGAGATAAAAAAAAAGAAATTTGAAGGAAGGAGGCTAACGTCACAAGGAAGCTCTCAGTATTCAGTAAACAATTTTTGAAGCATATTTGAGGAATATAATATGAATGAGAATTCTATGAAATGTACATTTTCAAAGACTCTGGAAAATACTGTCAAACACATTTGAAGATTTTTTTTAAAATACCTAAATATGTATACCCGCAGAAATCCCTAAAAATCTGAAAAGTATTTTTGAATTACCTTTAAGGAATTCTTCACAACGTTCGAATAATATTTTATAAGTATTTCTAGAGAATTTTTAGAGCATCTTTGAAAGAATCTACCAAAAATCGCTGAATCTATTTGATAACAATATTTATAAAATCTCTGAAGCACTTCTGAATAGTCTCCCAGAAACGTCTTAAGAGATTACTAACTGGGTACGTAACGGTTTATTGTTTTTTTATTATTATTTAATGTAGGTCTTTTCATTTCTTTACAATGCATTTGTGTTTAGATATTTTTGTGAGTCTCAATCTTTGTTTTTGAAGTTGACTTGATTTAACCTGAATGCAACATCATGTGTTTGATACCGTTAACTTTTATTGTTTAAAATTGAACATTTTTACGAATATTACTTCTGCACAAGGCCATGTAATCAAAATAAGCATAAATTCAGCAAACATTTCCACCAAAAATGAAAGCGATTTGTGCTCAATCAGATAGGAGTCGAAACGTTACAGTGTTGACGGCTCTAGAAACTATCGGGACGAAGCATCAGAGTTGTAACGTTATTTTCTTACCAATTGATATTCCAAATTTAATTAGATTACATTGCTGTTGTATAGAAATTTAGTTATTTGCGCATCAAAAAGTAGCTTTTTTGAATTTAATGTCACATTCATGCTTTTATACACCTATTTGTACGGACGACCGGTGGTCAAACGCAAAATTTTGCTTTTGCTTAGTTAACGTAAATTGAATTACTGATTCTTATTGAGTATTAATTACGGCCTTAGTATACGATTAACCTGTTAGTATCAGACGTTAAACATTGCTATACCGCAATACTTTAGTGCCGCACTATTTACTATCCCTCTTGTTGTTTGTTTGTGTTGTTACATTTCGTTGCGCAGTTTATTAATCGAAGTTAGGCGCCTAATTTATTTATACGGGGTGCTAATAAAGTTATAAATAAAACGGCAACCAGTAAAATCTTTTAAATACCATCAATTCGTGCTTTTGTCGGCTACCAAAATAATTTTTGAGATTCCATACTGCGGAATTTCCGATAAATAAACCAAATTGGAACTAACAAATTGTAAGGAACCTGAAGCACGTTTGTGTCCGATTCAAATTCGTCAACCATCTTTCAAGAACCACTTACAGCGAGTAAACAAATTTTTACCTGGTGGTACAAAAGTTCAATTGTATTGTAAAAAAGGCGTTCAACCATCCAATTTTCTGATTTGCAGTGACCGAAAGGAGACCTCCAACTGACACTGGGAGAATATTTCAAGTCATCGATTTATGGAAGTTACTATAATCTTTTAGGAGGAGGAAACAAAAGAATCTGTTGTCAATTTATTCGTGGCTATCTTAGTTTTTCCTCTATAGGGCGATTTTGGAAATGTTTGGTTTTTGTATTATGTTTTCGCTATGCCGATAGAGTTTTGTTTACGTAGAGTTCAGCTTTTTCCAAAATATTTGTTTTATATAATCCTGAAATGATCTTGACCAGTACCACGAAATAATAACATAATATATAATAACATCGGA